AACGAGGAGGACTTATATTTAAAAATGAATTGGTGAGTTTATCTATAAAAAATTTTGTATAATATATATTCATGAACAAGAACAAATTTCATTTGAGATTTTGGCCTAGAGAACTTATTGATTTATTACTATTTCGAATTAAGGAACTACACTTATTTAAAATGTTTAACTGCAGAATTTTATACGTTTGACAATTTGGACTAAAAAACAGTCAATTAGTCAGTTATTCACAGAATCATCACTTTTTTGTGCCTTGCTTTGGTAATGATTACCATAATTTTTCAGGCCATCGCTTTCTCAGTTCCGTTCAAGCAGTTACTTGCGATCAGGTTGGGAAAGGGCCTAATGATATTTGTTATTAAGGTTTAATGAAGTTACGAGCAATTTTAGTAGTTCAATAAAAAAAAGTTTTCCTCCTGTGTGCGTGTTGTATCTCTTTGCCGTAAGTAATGCATCTGTCTAGTGTGCGTGCATAGTATTTCTTTTGTGTGTACATTTCTCCCGCGTGTGTTGTCTTTCCCCCGTGTTTGTGTGTTGTCATTCCTCCGTGTATCTGTTGTATTCCCCCTGTGTATCTGTTGTCTTCCCTCCGTGGATCTGTTCTGTTTCTCTTGTATATGTGTGTTATCTTATTGCCGTGCATGTGTCATTTTCTCCAGTGTATGTGTTGTCTTTCTCCCGCGCGTATATTTGTATTTCTCGTGTTTATGTTGTCCAAACTCCTGTTCATCGACATCCAGAAGTCCTACTTCAGTTCTTGTGGTTGCATCCATGTAGACATAGAATATAAAAATCTGTTCATCTTGTGTGCGTGTTGTTATCCCACTATTTGCCCAGTGTGCGTGCGTCCTTCTCTTTCGTGTGCGTGTCGTATATTTTCTGAGTGTAAGTTGTACTTCTTCCGTGTTCATGATTGTTGTATTTCATCAAACGCGATCGGTCAAAGAGGAATGAGCATGATTTGTATTTTCGTTTCTGCATATTTGTGAGTGCTTTATTTTCCAAGTGTGTGTGTATTTCTCGCGCGTGCATGTGTACTATTTTTTTACGTATACTTGTTGATAGAACTTTATTCTTATTAAATGAGTTGGATTTCTATTGTTATCTACGCTATCATTACTATTTCTAGTTAATGTCTGTTCTAGAAATATTCTTCATTTATTCACATGTGATTTTCAAAGTGGATAGCAGTGAATACACATGAAACGAATTCATATTTTGGGAAAATCCATGATTTTTTCTAAGTCCATTACAAACCTATTTTTCACCTCAGTGTTCATACAAATTACACGTAAAGAGAAGCATTGCAAGGAGCTCACAAATATCGCACATTCGACGCCACAAACTCTGTAAAGAGCATAACAAAAATATTGGTATCGGCGAAGTATATTCACAAGATACTTCAGTTTCAGATTCAATTTCTGATGTTCAACTGATTCCTGCGTATGCGCTGCTACTTCCTTGCAATATTTGCATTAAACAATACATAGACAAACACAAACAATCATTCTCTCAATCGACTTTAAATTTAATAGGCACTGGAGGATCAGATCACTACTTTGTATGAATTTCATAGCACTTTTAGCACTTAAATAGCACCAGCAGATCTCTTGTTTAGTAGTTGGCTTAGATCAATCAGTTAGCAGAAATTATCATAACTTAGCTTACTGAGAAATGCATGAAAGTATTTTCTAATTATGATATTTTGGAAACAATTTTTCAAACATAGAGCACTAATTTTCTTTTTCTCGAAACGCTTTTTAACACCAACTATATATTATTTAATTGGTAAAAAAAAACCGTCCAATACAATTTGATGAGCACACTAAAGATCAATAAATATGTTCCACATGTAATTGAAAACTGTAAGTAGTTGTACCTTGTGTGTGAGTGCAATTGCAGAGATTAAGGTTACGTCGTTCTTGAAAACTGTTTCCTGAAAGAACAATTATTTTTATGAAACGTCTTAATACATTTCACAAAGCTCAAACAATCAAATCGAAACCATATAAACTCTTTCTCAACACGTTTAAGGTACCAGTTACAAATAAAGATAACTCCTAAATTCTGTGGCATCTATTGATGCATTTCAAGAGTGGTACAAAATGTTGTGTATTAAAAGTTCTTACCATTTGACTACTCTTCGCCAAATGTGTATTCTATCATTGGTGTAGTGAAAACAGTGAGAAATCCGCGGAGAAAAAACATTTGAATTGTTACTCCATGCATTCATGAAGTTTAGGAACTGTCGGAGAAGTATCAGCCGTTTAGATTCAACTTTCAGTGTCTGAAAATGTCAAGTGTTCACATGTAACTGAAGCAAAAAATTGAAGATTCGGTGCAGTGAGTGCAGAAGGTGTTATATTTCTTTAAATAGCATAAAGTTAAGCAAATTTTAACTTAATGTCAGCGAAATTTCAAAATTCTATGCATAAATTGTGCTCCAAAATCAAATAGAAAAGAAATATATGCATTTTATAGACAAAATAGCCGAACCCAAAATTATTCTCAGACTGTTCGCAGCACTCTGGCACAAAATTGGCTGAATCACAACAGATGGATGGAGGAGAGCTTCTATGCGTGTTTGTGTGTGTGTAATTAATCAAAAGATCAAAAGAGAGGGTAGGCTATTGGAGACTGTCAAAAAGGCAGAAAGCCCACAGATGTGATGAGAAGGGTTAACGATGACTGGAACAGTGATTAATTATTGTTGCTAGTGAAAGGATGGAAGGACTAGCGTATGTGTGTGGAAGTCCAACAAAAGAACTGAACTCTCAAAGATTTTGAGGTCATGTACAAAGAAGAAAGCTCAGATAGAAAGATTGCTTGTGGTAAATTTACAATTTAGCTAAATTCTTTGTGTGTAAGTATGAAAGTGCCATGTGAAAAGCAGTTTGCGTATGGATTGATTTAGAAACAGTTTATGCATTCAAAAAAAGAAGGGTTGAGATGCGTGATAAGTTGATGGTTGTGTTACGCATTTACGTGTGTGCGGAATAGATAATCTAAGCATGGCTTGAGAGATAGCTATAGCAAGCAGAAATGGCGCGTTTGCGAGACGGAAAGAAAAATTAATCACATTTTTCACTCTTTCCAAATTGTACAATTCAAATCCGTTGGTGATTAGTTAAGTCGAGAAATCGTTTCATTCTGTGCTCATACGAATTCATACTGTTCAATAACGACGACTATTTATTTATATGGCTAAATAAATGTTTCTTATTCTTCTGTTTAGTCTCTCTCTCCTAAATCGACCGAGTAAATCTTTCGCCTTTTCCTTTAGATTTCTGTGCAGTGAGTGCTGCTAGAGGTGTTATTTTTTGGAACCCTTCTGGGGACTATAGAAGTTGTTTGTAGGTGATATGGATGGTATAGTTGTCGCGATTCAGTGTCTGAGTGTTTAAGTGTGGAGGGACGTCTGATTGCAGAGACGCTTTTCGTGAGGGAGTGGGTAGTGTTGAAAAGTATCGACGTTTGAATGTGACGTAAAGTTCTGAGTGTTTCCTTCCGAATTGGGCATAGTTCGTGCATGGGTAGATGCTCAAGTTTGGTCATCAGTTGTGATGTGTTGTAGTCACTGTTTCCTCTAATTTCCAGTATAGACGATTGCAGTTTTGTTTACAATAGGGTTGGATTTGCATCTAATACTTGTAGTGTTCTGTAAAGTAAATTGAATAGAATCTCATCGTAAATATATTACTTAGAAATAGAAACCGTAGTGGGGTTGAGGCCTAATGAAACGAATATATGTTGAATTCACATGTGTCAGTCGTCGGCAAAGAACATGCTTGCTTTATTTTTCTATAAGGTAAAAAAGTGAAACTGACGTAGATAAGAACATGAAGCAACAAAGCTAAACGAGATTTTTTTAAACACGCAAATTTGAGAATCGTAATGAATGCCGCCAGGATTGCATTTAATGGACTTTTTCAATACTTGATTTCTACATCGGTTTACTCAGAAGGTAAATATAGAAAACCTGCCATAAAATATTCCAATTCGTTATTGTATGCGCATTATTCTACCGAACAATTCCTTGTGCGTGGTTGCTTCGTTCCATTGTACCGAATAATAAAGTTACAAAGTTTATCTTAATCTGTAATAATTTTTATCTCATTAAGTAGTCATGGGTTGTACTCATTCCATCAATTTTCATAGTCTCGAGAAAGGTATTGGTCATGAAGAACTTGCGCGAACAAGTTTTGATATGCAAAGAATTGAAATTATACATGATTTAGACACGGATAATGATCAAAAGGGAAAGTTAGCTGTAGACTGCATTTTTAGAGCAACAAGGTAACATTTTGCATTGTAGCAAAATTTAGCACGTTTAAAATATCTATCAAATATTTCATTAAATCTCAAATTTGGTGTAAAATTTTTGCTTTCTACATGACAAGTATTATTACTTTTCATGTAACTCATTATTATTTTACTTATTGTTTAGCGTATCCAAGTTAAAATGTCAGTGATTTATATTCTTAATCTCATAAAGTTTGTAATAAATCGTATTTTGTGTCATTTAAATTTTTGCTAGCACGTCAACATATTAATACTTACATGTCCATTTTTTGATTCGAATTTATTCACTGATTTATTTAATAGTCTTTTTCAGAGAAATTTATGGACAACGAGCTTTAGATATGTTAGATGAAACAATTACGTGGTCAAAGTTTGGTAAACTATTATATAGTATTGTTTTGTTTTGCTTTTTAGTTCTATGTTTGTATCAGCAGAATAACTGACTACACCAGATCATATTTGAATCAGCAGAATAACTTCTCTAAATACGTTGTTCATAATTTACCTCTATTTTTTAATATTAATATGTATTGTAATGATTATTTTTGTGAAAAGTTAGCGTGGTACAGGTATATCATTTCACGGTCGACCTTTTCCACATGATTTTCCTGCATTTGCGCATGAAAAGCCACAATATGAAGCATTAAATGGAAAGGAGAATCGTAAAGTTGACACTGAAAAAACACACAAGGAATTGAAAAAGGTGGAGAGCTATAAATTCCATGACATAGGCTTAGGCGAAACAGAAAATATTGAAGATGTTGCTGACAAAAATTGAATAATTATCTATGATAAGATTAACTTTTTCTTTTTTGTAGTAAGAGATTGCAATTTATTGTGTATTCAAGATTTTGGAGAGAACTCATGCAAAGTTTTCTACTGTAGTGGTGACATGGTTCTTGTTTTTGTCCTAAAGTATTTTACTGTCATTATGTATGTTTGATAATAAGTACTGTAAATGTTATAATCGAAAATAAATTTAATCAATTTTCAATTTTAATTTTTTGAAATTATCAAACTGAGATGCTCACATATCTATTGAAATTCAAAAGTTCATATAATGAGATTCTGAATATACTTATTTATAATGAGGATAAATTCTTGGATAAGATTGATTTGTGTTTTTGAAACAAGTATAATGAGATTTTAAAATTATTTTCATTGCAATGATTCAATCATAATCACAAATCAAACACAAAATAAAGTAATCAGAATTTATCACACTTAAACACTTTAATAAAGTAACAAAAGTAAGTGTAATTAAATGAAATGAAGATAGTAGTATCCAATGACGAACGCACGAAAAACAAAACAATAAAAGTGAGAGCAAAAAAGATTATTTTTTAAGGAAATAAATTTTGGCAGAATTTTCTCAAGTGAATACAATTGGTTACGTTGATGTGAATCAGTATTATAAATAATGACAATATACTAAAGTGTTATTAATCATTAGGTTTATTTCCATACAACAATGAAATGGCAGGACAATTACGTAGTTTCTGAAGCTATTAAGAATAATAATAAGAAATCCTCCACCAGAAGCATAATTTGGAACAAGGGGCGAAGAGCTATGAGAAGACTATTGCGTTACTTTGCATTACTTCGTCGCTTCGACCTTTTTTGCATTATAAAATTTACTTAGTAATTAAATTATGTTAATTAAATCCCGAATAATTTATTCAACTCGATTTAAAATTTATTTTATTGATAAACCGTAATTTTGCCACATATTTTTTGTCGACAAGCAGGACATTGCTCAAAGCGACTTCCACATCCTTCGCAACAAATAAAGTGCGAACATGGCATGTATAACATCTGTGGCTAGAATTATTTAGCATTAGCTGGTATTACTGTTAATTTCATAGAATTTTTCAATATTTGTTGTTTGGACAGGATTAATGTGAAAAGTTTAAGTAAGTAATGTTGAAGAATTCAATAATTAATATTGAAAATTGTCTTAAACTTGAATATTGTTAAATTCTTTTTATTATTTCCTACTGCTTTCCACTTACTTAATATTTTTGTCTAAAAACAATCGAAAATAATCTTGATAAACTTTTAGAATATCTGAAATTTATTAATCATTGTATAACAGTAAGTTTTAACATGTGTTAAGGTATTGTTTTTGTCTCAGAGCAACTAATTAGACTATCATTTTTACTTCATTTTATTAAAAAAATTATTAAAACTAACAATCACAAAAATCTTATACCATAAGCGTAACTGTACTTCCTCATAATTTCAAATTTCTTTATTTGTCTTTTTTAGAAAATACAATTTTTTTTTTTGCTTTAACTAATAATCAAAAATAACAAACCCGTTTATCAAGACAAATAACACAAGTTGGTATTTTATTAAGAGTTGATCGTACTTCATCGCGTTCAGAACGAATTTGTTCAATTAATTCTTCAGCTTTTCGCATTTCATCGTAACAATTACCACATTTTGCTAGGTCAGCTTCTTTCTTTGCTAACTGCAAAAGAAATAAACTGATAACTTTGTATTACAAAAAGTATAAAATAAAAATAATTTCAAACTTATTATTGTATATTAAATTATACAGATTTAATAATAGCTGAAAAACTTGACAACAATTGAAAATTATGATCAAACCAAATTCTTCAACTCATGAATTTCATCTATGAGTTTAGCATTGGTTTCAGCCATCGGTTTATTAGCATCTTCAGCTGCTTTTAGCTTTGAAAAAAGCTCACTAATACACTAAAAATAATTGATATTATTTTATTTACTTTTTATGATCAAGCATCATGCAAAAACTACTTTTGTCTCATTAGTAATTAGTATGAATTTACGTGATATTTTGACGCTACGAACATTCATAGCAAATGTTTCTTAATATATGCATAAACATGCGTGAAACGTAATATAAAAGCTTGAAAATACAGGTTCCAATTTTTATTCATTCAATAATGACATGGAACTATTTTCTGCTATAATTTAATAAAAAGCAATGATTTGATTATTAAAATACTTTTATTAATCCAATTTCAAAGTGATTAATCACTATATTAATTAATTAATGAAAAAGCAATGACTTGAAAAATAGAATCCAAACTATTCCAATATTTATAAAACGTACTACTTTGAATATTTTTACTTTTTTCAGAAAGAATTAAATTTAAACAGATTATTTACTTTATCTTTTTCTCGAATTTCATTTTCGTATTTTTTATTAGCAGCTTCAATTTGCTCCTCCAAAACACGAATTTGATCAGTTTTAATCCTATTTTCGAATAACTGAAATTGAGTTTTTTTTCTAAAATCCAAATTTATTGCAGTAAAAAAATTTAGTTTTATGAATAAAATAGAAAAAACTAGCAAATGTTTTTATTCACAATCAAAGTTTTCACTGATCTTCCACTTAACTTGCAATTTAGTCTTCTATCTTTAACGATTTTATTAATATTAATTAATTAATTAATATTTTATGCTCAGCATACAATAAATCATAATCATTTTATGCATTACAAACCTATAAACTTTAAACTGATTAAGATATTAATTAATTAATATATGAAAAGGCAATGATTTAAAATCCAAATCATTCCAATATTTATCAAATATACTATTTGAATATTTTTGCTCTCCAGAAATTAAAATAGTAATAGCAGAACTATCCTATCTTTGATCAGACTTTTTATGCTGTCACTAATAAATATAGTTGAAACTCTGTTTGCTTAAAATTGTTTTTGAATATAAGAATTAAAAGTGAAAAATAAATAAACATATAAATTTGAAAGTTCAGAAACTGTAACAACTAAATTTTGATCTTTTGGTGATATTAACATTGATAAATAACCTGAAGACTAAATCAGTACATAAGTTGAGACTTTTAATTCAAGAGTATCAAAATAAAATAATCTAATAAAAAAGTAATTTTTGAGTGAAATTTATGTATAAATAAGATAGCAGCATTTTTGTTAGTAGCATTTAATAATCCCTCCTAATCCATTTCAGAAATAAAAAATTGTTGAACAAAGTTTTTTTATTAATTTGATTTAAGGCCCAGTGATTAATCCTGTTGGTCTATTTTTTCATAATAATTATGTCAATAACTCATTTTATTTAAATATTGTTCTGCATAAATTGCATGAATTTGCATACGCTTTATACTTTGAATATCATTTTTAAATGTTATAGTGTTTACTTCGTTCTCAAGTTTTGCTTTGGTTAATTGCAGCTGGTCATCAATTGCATCTCGGGTACTAAGCTTATTACTTAGTACTACGATTTCAGATTCTTTTTTCAGAAGTTCCATTTGCAGAAATGTTTGCCTATCAGAAAATTGCTGACATGTTTGCTAAAAATTAATTAACAATTATTTGTTTAAAATATTATTATAAACAGATAACATATATCTGCATACTGTTTTATAATAATTTAAATAATGATCTGTCCAGATTATAATTTTTTAAAAAACATAATGTTGTAGCAATTTTAATCATAATTAAGCAG